GATCATGATAGTGGGGACTGGGAGGAAGCATTTAGGAGCTAGAGGAAAGTTGTATGTTCCATATTTGCCACGTTGCAACCTGATTAGCTCATCTCCTCCCCGTGACCCTTCTGTAAGGGGGTGTCCAGTTGCCTACAGATGGGCTTTGGGTCTCCACCCCGCACTCCCCCTCATTCACAGTGATATGATTTTGTGTTTACAGAACAGAATTACAAAATGTCATGAACTAGATTTTCTGGAGCCAGGGAAGGTAGATGAACCTCTGACACTATTGCTCTGAGATAACCTTTATACCTTAAACCAAAAATATCCCCAGAAGCCTTAGAACAATAGTATAGCTAAATTAGTAAACCAGGTCTGCTTTGAGCATCATGCTCTTTTTAAATCTGTATGTATGGATTTTAAATTGACAACATCAATTCAAAAGATTAGACAGGTGTTGTAGTGGGCAGGGGGTTTCTGGCATTGTGGAGGGACAATTCAGATGCAGAGGGTGAGAAGGGTTGCATGACTTGAAGCATGTAATCCATGTAACTGAAAAGTACATGGAGAACCAATCGAGTTAGTAGTAATATGCTTTGAAGATAATATGACGATATATTCTCCACCACAACATCAAAACTACAAAAAGAAAAAGAAGGAGAAAGGAGCTAGACTGTGCACAGCCAGTGTCTCTTTCTAAATGCATACATCTGATACAGGCATGCCCTTGTTCCTGGAGCAGAGAGTGACCCACAGAGAGAGGCTAATAGCTATGCCTTCATGGGCGGGAGAGTCTTTAGCAGTCCAGCCCCCCAACTCAATTACAAAGGTCATCTCTACAGGTAGTGCTTGATTGCATGCACTGTTACCTGCATCTCCTGTGATACACGTACTCTCTTTTTGGGAAACCATTGGGAGGATCTATCCTAACGACAGCACGTTAAATGGAGAAGTTCCAGTATTAAGTAAAATAGGCAACTGGGCCGAAAATGGAGGAGAAGGCAATAAAAACTGCTGACAGCTCAGTTTATAATTCTAAGCGCCCAACACTGATTCTTTCTTAGATGTTTTGGCCTATTAGTATTTAATAAGTTAAAACATTTGAAAATTCATTTTCTCTAAGAAGCAAAAAAAGTGAGGTTTAGAGACAAACCTGGGTTTTGAATGCTGGCTCCACTTAAGCCAGAATGAGCAATTGATTTCACCTCTTCCTATCTTTACTCTGAAGATTTCAACACCAACCCCGAAACCTGAGAGTTCAATGTATTGTGACCTGTCCAGTCTGGCTCCTGCCATGTAACAGGCCACCAATTTGTGATAGTTATCCCTTTGCTGCTGTTGAGAAGAACCTGCTTGCCCAGAGCACTATTGCATAGGGCAGGGATGGCGGTAGCAGCCTTAGGGGGAGGCCACTGTGTTGTGGTAGCTAGCACAAAGGCTGGGAAGACTGGACTTGATTCGCTCCTCATACTTAGGAACCAATGCCGGCATCCTTTTTCTCAACACAGGGTGGACGACAGTGAATGGGACTCTGACCGGACTCCAATCATCGGCTCCTGTGGCTCTGAGGAGCATTCAGTGATAATAGACCTCACAAGCAGCACTTGTCGGAGGGTAAGAAGGGAAGTAGAGTCAAGAGAGGGGCCTGTGCTGGGTTAAGGTTAAGGTTAAGACCGGGCTGGCTGGGTTAAGGTTAGGTGTCAAGGAGAGGGAAGATGCATGCCCACCCAGGAGCAGCTGATGGGTTGTTGACTGGAAGGCTCTGAAAGATTGGGGGAACCTTATAGAATCTGCCAGACTGCCTTTCTCCCAGGAGAACCTTGTAGAATCTGCCTTTCTCCCAGGAGACTCTTTTCTGCATTGGCTGGCTCATTGGTGCTTCAACACAAGACTGCCAGCAAAGGACCATACCCTTGGATGGTAAAACTCTGAGATTCCGATTTTTCTTGCAGGCCCGGAGGAGTGTCGGCTGGAGGAGAGTCCTGCGCGCTCTCTATCGTTCCCGGACGCGAGTGCCGCTGCTCGCAGCACTCTACTTCCTGATGGTGCACGTCCTCCTCATCCTGTGCATCACAGGCCATCTCTAATCTTAGTCTAGTGTCGCCTTCGAGCCCTCTCTCCTTAGACTTTGAAATTCCCTCACCCCTTACATCCAAACCCCTGATTCCAGTAAAACATTCTTCCCCACCTCTAGTCTTTCTCTTCAACTCTCCATGGGAAGTGCCTGTAAACCTGCAGGGACCAGCAAGCACGTTTAATTTTTTGTATAGCCCAGTGTCTGGACTCTGTTAGGGGGTGTCTTTCAGTCAGGATGGTTCCCACAAACCTAAGAATCTCCTATCATTTGAATTGATGCCCTTTGCCTCTGTTGGCCTCTGTTCTCCCCTTCTCTGGGGGGAAGGTGGTGCTGTCATCAAGTTCTGAGGCAGGAGCTCATCGCCATACGGGACATCTGACTCGCTCTCGTGCAGAATGGGGCAGGAGCTGAAGAACTCCCGACATGGAGTTGTCGGGCCCCAGGGGAGGGCAGCGTTTCCTTTCTTGGGTGCTTAGACATCCTTGGGATGAGAATTTGTGACACCGGGCTTTAAGGACAGGCCCTGTGGCCTGTGCCCCTGATCTTCTTTAACGTGTTAGTGAAAGGCCGGAAGAATTGCAATATGACTCAGATTCTTGCTATACGTATGAGATCTGGATATGCCGTGACTGTGTCCCCTGAGGCAGTGCCCAGAGCCAGGAGGAGCTACCTTAAGTGTGACTTTGACTACCAGCCAGGGAGTGTCTGACCTTGGCTCACACTGTACCTTCTGGCTTCTCGAAGTATTAAGCTAAACTACTTAGCTGTTGGTGAAAGTGATTCCAGAGTCTTGGCCCCATGTGCATATGCCTTCCGCCTGAGAACAGTTCGGAGACAAACAGAAGGAGGCTTTAGGGCAGATGAGATATTTAACTCTAGGCCTGCAAAAAATAGCCAGATTGAATTCCATTGGTGCCTATCCCTTGGCCCCATCCCCACAATCCTTTCGGTTGCATTTTTTTCTTAATGTGCACATGATGTGTGTCCTGCTCACCACCCAAAGACAAGACATGACTGATCAACCGTTTGACTCGGACCCTCTGTTTCCTGGTGACCAAGTTTTGGTCACAGCTTCCCAGGAATATTTCTGAACAACTGTAAAATAATAAAGTTATTTTCAGAAAGACGTGTTGTGGTGTATGCATGTGTACACGGTACTTACATGCATGCTGGGGGAGGGAG